TGTATGTGTGTGTGTGTGTGTGTGTGTGTGTGTGTGTGTGTGTGTGTGTGTGTGTGTGTGTGTGTGTGTGTGTGTGTGTATGTGTGTGGACGTGTGTCGTTGTGTGCATGTGTGAATAATATGTTAATTTCTTGCCTTGTATTTGTTTGTAACTTTGAGTATACTATGCGAGTATGTTTGTTTGTTGTTGTTGTTTTGTGGGGATTTTGGTTCTTTTTTTTTTGTTTCTTGTATTCTAAGGATACCAGAGGAGGGAAAAAGTAAAATGTAAGAAGTTATGTTTAGTGTGCATTAACCTTACATTAAAAAGTTAGAAGTACTTTTTAGTGTGCATTAACCTTACATCAACCCAAGTGTTGGAGACAGAGACACCGCAGTCATTATGTTATCCTTGTCTGCTCATGTTTGTGCATATTATGTTACAGCCCGCATGAAGCATCACGACGAGGCATACAAAGCCTTCCAACACGCCCTGGAACTTGCTAAGCAGAAAGGTAAGTCTTTACTTGGGGCGTCGATAGTCTAGTGGTAAAGCTATCGAACTCGCTATTGTGATGCTGTGTATTCGGGGTTCGAGCCTTATACGGGGTGCCCACTACGGCTGGATCGGGCCGATCAGGCCGATCGCCCGACTCGATCGCCTCAAAAACAAACGTGTTTGTTTTCAGTTTCAGGCGAACGAGTCGGGCGATCGTCCCGATCCAGCTGTAGTGGGCACCCTGTATTAGGCCCGATGTTGTATCTTTGGAAAAAGAACTTTAGACGATTTTTCTCACTTCACCCCAGTGGGAATGAGTACCCAGCCAAAAACAGCGAAAGTTCTTCTAGTCAATGTAGAAGTGTTTTCTTCTTCTTATTCTTCTTCTTCTATCCCGTGGTTCGGGCAAACGTTATGGCACCACTGCATTGGGAAACCAGCTCTCACCATCTATTTTGTCCTCTTCTCTCCTAAAATTGTCACCCATCGTCTTCCTGTCCACTCTGTAATGTTGTCCTCCCATCTCCTTCTCTGCCTTCCTCTCTTTCTCTTTCCTTGTACGGTTCCTTGCAGGATTGTTTTGGCAAGTTCTGTGGATCTTGTGACATGCCCATACCATTTTAGTTTTTGTCTCTTCACTGTGGTCAGTAGATCTTCATATTGTCCCACTGCGTTGGTGATTCTCTTTCGTACTTCAGCATTTGAAACGTGGTCTCTGTACGAGATGTCAAGGAGTCTGCGGTAACATCTCATCTCTATGGTCTGAATATTTTTCTCTAATTCTGCTGTTAGTGTCCATGATTCCAGGCGTAAAAAATATTGAGATGACCAGTGAGCGCAGTAGTCTAATTTTTTAGCCGTGCGTGATGTTTCTGTCCCTCCAAATAGGCTTCAGTTTTCAGTAAGTGTTTCAGCGCCTGTAAAATGGCAGACTGCACTCCCAGGACGTTGAGATTGTGTCAGAGTGCTATTAAATCCTCTGGGGTAATGATGTAGATTGTAAACTTCGTAGAGCTTGCTGTTGAGCGGGAATTAGCACTGCAGAAATACTATCTATCTACATGTATTATCCTTTCTTGTGACACGTATTTACTGGTGGTTGGTTGGTCCAATTCTTTTCTTTTCCACTATTGTTTCTGTCTGTCTTACTTTTCTCTGAGCTCAATGACCGTTAATTATTCGATGTGTTTCTCTTTACTCAAACGTAGCCCAAACTTAAAATATAAGTATTTGTTAGAACTATATGTCTGAGTGTGCGTTTTTTAAATTCGTTTTTTTTCCTAATTTTTAGTGAGAGTCTTACGACATATGCAGCATCATCGGGTCATTTGTCACTCTCCGCTCTCTTGTTCTCTCTTTTTTTCTTTTTGTTTTTTGCTATCTTTCTCTCTTTTTCTTAAACCCCCTTCCCCCCCCCCTCTCTCTCTCTCTCTCTCTCTCTTTCTCTCTCTCTCTCTCTCTCTCTCTCTCCCTCTCTCTCTCTCTCTCTCTCTTTCTCTCTCTCACCCACACACACACACACACACACACACACACACACACACACACACACACACACACACACACACACACATTCACACTCACACACCCTCTCTTTTTTCTCTCTTTCTCACTCTACCTGTCTATCTATCTATCTATCTATCTATCTATCTATCTATCTATCTCTTGCTCGCTCTCTGATAAAACCTCTTACCCCCCCCCCCCTCACCTTTTGGCAGATGACCAGTAGTCAGTGACAGTAATCCTGTGCGCCATGGAACATTTCAGACAGACTATAACATACGGGGGTGGCGGGTGAAGAGCTTTGAATTGTTGTACCTACTATAGTAGCAAGTACCGACTCTCTGTATCTGCACTCAGTGTATGAGGATAGGGGTGCTT